TAGATCTAAGTGTGGTGAAGTTTTGACACCATTCTTGTCCCAAAACCCACCATTATGATGCATGATGTGTTTTGGTTAAGATGAGCTGTCCTTTCAGACCATTGGAGAGGTCTTGAGTAAGAAAAATAAGGTCCCAATGGCTTTGGTTGTCCCATGTAAGAAGTAGGAAGGTATTAATGGGTTAAGACCTTGAGTTAAGAGCTTTATGGACGTCCAAAAGAATAAAGATTGAGACTTTATGAGTCCTAGGCCCTTTTTGTCACTAGATCTGGCATATGGGCTTAAGTGCTTAAGCCATTAAGCATATGGAAGGATTTTTGGTGCAGACGTGCGTACGCCTCGCGTACCATAGGCGTACGCCCAACGTACGCCCAGCGTACGCCCTCTGTTGGGTTTTCAATTTTGTGCCTTGAGTAATTGGGCTGTTTATGGGCTAGCTGGGCTTGGGCCGTGACTGAATAGTATGGATGGAGTAAATTGGACCCAGTAATTATTATGGACCTTGGATCTAGGCCCGTTTGGAAAGGTGGGCCCAATTTAGTAAATTGGGCCAATATTGGGCTTTGCATGAGGATTTGGTTTTGGGTCTTGGCCCAATAAGAGGATAATGGACTTAATGAGTGTTGTGGGCCCTTAGCCTAGAAAAGTCATGTTGGATTCTAACTTGGTGATTATCATGTGATAGTTGGGAGTCCCGGTGAGTCAGCGGTCAGAGATTTGCAGGATTTCGGCAGTTGCAAGGTGAGTTATCCTCACTATATCGACAGGGTCTACGGCACCAAGGCCGGCCCTTTATCGGATGGAAATCCGGGTATTGTTTGTTATGTTATTGTTTTGCTAGATCTGCATCCTGGTATTTAGGATGGTGTTATGTTAGTGAGCTGGTTAAGGTCGGTACCCGAGATATAGGGTAATGTTATGCTAGTGACCGGTTAGGTCGGAATCCTGGTTAGGATGTTGATATGCTATGTGATCTGTTAGACTGTTTGTCTGGTTGAGGATTGTTATGTGATTAATTGTTGTATGTGCACATGGTTGTTTGATGGGGGTTGGGTTGAGGCGGGTCCTGCTTTGTGCTGTAGGCCAACATACCCAGGGCGGACCGGATGTTTCGAAGGCCCAGCGAGCGGTCCGGATAGGCTGAAGGCCCCAAGAGGGCGGACCAGACTTGCTGAGGCTCGGAGAGTGGACCAGGCCGACTGAAGGCCCGGTGCGGGCGGACCAGTCATACTGTAGACTCAGAGAGTGGACCAGGTGGATTGAAGGCCCGGTGCGGGCGGACCAATCACACTGTAGACTCGACGTACATGGCTAGACTTGGAGGGTGGACCAGGTGGACTGAAGGCCCGGTGCGGGCGGACCAGTCACACAGTAGACCCGATGTGCATGGCTGTTCTATTTATGATATGTTATGAGTATGATATGTGTGGTTGGTATTTTGGAGGTAACTCACTAAGATTTCGGGCTTACAGTTTCAGTGTATTGTTTCAGGTACTTCAGGAGATTGTGGCAAGGCGAAGGCGTGATCGTACCGCTCCTCATGTTTTACGATTTATATGATATGGTTCTGGGGGATACTCTGATGTTTAAACTATTTTGAAAACGAGTTGTATGAACGTAATGGTTTTTGAATGATTAAAATGTTTTAATTGGGCTCAAGTTTTATGGGTCATACACGACGTTTACGCCGTCGGTCGGGAGTGTGACGATACCTTCCTTTGGCTGAGTTTTCTTACAACAACAGCTACCACGCCGGTATTGATCGAACTTCTTTTGAGATGCTCTACGGGAGGAAGTGTTGGACCCCGATTTGTTGGGTCGAGGTCGGTCAATGAGTTATGGGTAGCACAGAGGTGGTGCTCCTGACTACGAGTTGATCCAGCAGGAGTATGGGAGATTGCAGACTGGACAAAGCTGACAGAAGAGTTATACTGATAGACGCCGATCAGATTTGGAGTTGCAGGTCGGAGATATGGTACTCCTGAAGGTGTCACCTTGGAATGGTGTCATTCGGTTCAGGAAGAGGGGCAAGTTGGGCCCCAGATATATTGGTCCTTTTAGAGTTATTTCCCGGGTGGACAGGGTTGTATATCGTTTGGAGCTACCCAAGGAGCTTAGTCAGATTCATAGCACTTTTCACGTCTCTCAACTGCGAAAGTGTTTGGTTGAAGACTCCGTAGTGGTGCTATTGGAGTATATTCAGGTGGACGAACGCATGAACTACATAGAGAGACCAGTATCGCTCCTCGATAAGAAGACGAAGACTCGGCGAAACAAGGAGGTAGGTTTAGTGAAGGTGCAATGGCTGCACCGAAAATGCTTAGAGTGGGCTTGGGAGCCTGGGGAGGAGACGTAGGAGCATTATCAAGAGTTATTTGTAGAAGCGAATTTCAAGGACGAATTCAGATTCAAGTGGGGGAGAGTTGTAACATCTGTTTCCCGGTATTTTTAATTCTAGCTAAAAATATCAATTTATTACAAAATCAGTCCCTACGCAGGGCGTACCTGATGCGTATGTTTGGGCGTATGTCACCTAAATTGGACGTGGTCCTCGTCGAGTACGTCGGGCGTACAAAAGGAGTACGCAAGGCGTACTCATACAGATCCCAAACCCTATTTTTTGGGGTTGAGCCCATATTTAAGGACCTTAAGTCCCTTGATGCCTCTCCATATTCAACCTCCATCCTCCCCAACCAGTGTCTTGAAACCCTAAACCTTGATTAGCTTATGTGATCCTCTTTTGTGTGTTCTTGGTGCATTGTAAAGGAGTAGAAGCTTTCCCTTGAAGATTGTTGTGGCCAGGGCTTGTAGATTCAGGGCCTTCATCACCTTTGCAAGCTTCTGGATGTATAAAGCTCTTACCTTTTATGGTTTTATGACTTAGATCTAGACTAGATTAGAGGTTTGCATGCTTTTGCTCCCATGGTTTGGTTATTGTGAGTAAAAGCTACTCTAGAGCTCAAGTTTGTCACTTTATGTTGTTTTTGAGAATCTTGTGTCATAAAAATGAAGTCTTTGTTGCGATTTCTCACCCACACAAGAGTTTGAGGTTATTAAAGAGTTTCATGGACTTAGGGTTTTGGTTTTGGGCTCTATTAATCCATGCAAAAGCTTAAAGTTGTCAACTTTATAATTTAAGACCTTCCTAAGATTAAGATTTGTGAGTTAATATTTAGTCTTTAGGAATTAAGAGCTTAAAAGGTGGGTTTGGACAACAGAGGGTTACATAGGGCGTAACCTCTGGGTACACATGGTGTAACGGGTTTAGCCCCGAATCCTTTATATAAACACCAAGTACGTGGGGCGTAATGAGGGAGTACGCATGACGTACTCCCATAAGTGCATTTGGGCCAGTTTGGGCCTTGGACCATATTGGGCATTGGGCCATGTTTAGTTGGGTCTAGTATGGGAAGGGTAAAATGGTCTTATACCCTTTGTAAGAGAGAATTTGATTTGTACCTTTGATATTGGGTTATTACCCTAATTATTAATTAGGGTCGATTTTGGGTATGTAAAGTGTGAGGAGCCTTTTTGGCAGCAGCTCGAGCGTGTGATTGTTTATCATCATATTGAGGTGAGTATTCTCACCATACTATATAGGATGCTAGTTGTCTTTGTGATACTTACATGGAAGATCACGGGGGTAGCCCAGGGAATTTGTATGAAAAACCATGGGGGTAGCCCATGACAATTGCATGAAAGACCATGAAGGTAGCCCATGACACTTGATGTTAGACCATGAGGGTAGCCCATAAAATTTCAAGGAAAGACCATAAGGGTAGCCCATGACACTTGGTGGTAAGACCGTGGGGGTAGCCCATGACATTCCAGGGAAAAGACCATGGGGGTAGCCCATGGAACTAGTATGTAAGACCATGGGGGTAGCTCATGGCAATGTATATATGATATGTGGTATTTTGGGAAACTCACTAAGCTTTGTGCTTATGGATTATGTTTAAAATGTTTTCATGTACTTCCGGTTCGAAAAGGGAAGGGCTCGACATGATCGTACACCATCCACCCGTGTTTTGCATTTTATGATTTTGGATTGTACTCTAATAACTATTTTCTACATTGAGATACTTTGATGGTTTTTGAAATGTATGGTTGATTTAAAAACAGAATTTTTTACTTAGTACTTTTGGGACGTTACAATTTATTTGCATCACAAGTTATAGGGTTAAACTACTGAAACTTGATTAGGATGCCGACTGATTAAGAGACAATCTGCAATTGTGTTTAGGACCATTAGGTCTTTACAGTGTAACAATGTTATGTGTTGATTATGACATCCTTAAAGATTTTTCTTTTCGAAAAAACATATTTAATCAAAAATATTTTAATAAAACAAAACAGTTTCCGCAAAATATTTATAATACTGGGATTTTTCGGTAACCCAAAATACTATGATTTTAAAACGTAAAGAATTTTTATTTTTTTTCGTTTTGAAAACAAGGAATGTCACAAAAATCTTCATAACTTTCACATGCACACTTTATAGCAATCATCTGGGTTCTCTCATTCACAAATCTAAAATACACAATAATTAAAAAGAAAAGTCGTAGGCCATATTCATTTTTGTGGGTGTTGATCTACATAAATGCTTAAAAAAATTAATATATATATATATATATATATATATATATATATATATATATATATATATATATATATATATATATATATATATATATTTGAAGGCAACCGAGATTTTCGTTTGTGTTAACCTTTGAAAATTAAAAAAAAAAGTCGCAGCCACGAAAATTTTCACAACTTTGACCAGTGAAATTTATTGTTATTATGGTCATTTTTCTGATTTTTGATTTTTTTCTGAAATAATCTTTGAAAATTTGGCTACTATGGTTATTACTTATTTTCTTTCTATTTTATTCCTTTTTATTTAATAACATTTTTATTGTATACCATTTAATTGTACTTTATGTTAAATTTTTTGTTATATTTGATCATTAAAAGTGTTTTTATAGCAGTTGTATTCACTAATGGAGAGCTACAGAAGAAGAGACATGGTAGAATACACAGAAGTCCGGCGGAAGAAGGCATCGATGAAACCAAACGGAGACGGAATAACCGCGTTTTTTGTCACAAATGTACCACAGGCGGCCAGAAAATCTGAGCTCAGGGAGGTTTTCAGTAGATATGGAAGATTAAGAGACGTTTATATAGGAGTGAACAAGGGGAAGAACGGCTACTTTTATGCGTTTATCAGATTTGCGGACATGAAGGATGTTATTGCCATGGAAAGATTACTCAACGGAGCCAAGATAAGAGGCAGAAACCTAGCGGTGAATCTGGCTCGATATGAAAGAAAGAAGAAAGAAGTTTATGAGACAAAAATGCCATTGAAGACATGTAACCAACCACCACAAAAAACCCTCACCAATGCATATCGTGACCATCGGTCATATGCAGAAATCATAATTCCCCAGGCTGGACACAAGCCCCCACAACCACCACCCCTACCTTAAACCCCTTCATTCTGAAACGAGAGCATGGGACACACAAATGGATGAAAAAAACAACCATTATAGGTGAGGCCATTTCAGTAGATCATCTTGGACACCTTCCTAAGTTACTCACTCTGAAGGAGGAACTCAAATGTGAGATAAAATACATCAGAGGCCTAAAAGTATTACTGGATTTGAAAAGTTCGATGGAAGCAAAAGGATTCATGGAAGCAGACACAAGGTGGAAAGAAACTTTCAAATTGGTAAACCGGGGAGAACATATTGAACTTGTCTTTGAAAGGATAGCCTGGGTAAGAATCATTGGGGCCCCCTACATCTTTGGGGTGATCGAAACTTTGTTGTTGTAATGGAAAGGTTTGGGAAAACAATTATTCCCTTCGATGAAGTTAACCATAGAATCGATTTATCATGTCCGAAGATTGGTATCCTAACATACAAAAGGGCTAGGATAAATGAAGAATTCACAGCTATATTCAAAGGGAAGATGCTAAAGCTGGGAATCATCGAGTTTGATGAGGAATATTGGGTCCCATTCAGGTGGGATCCGAATCCTGATTTCTATGAGAAACGATCAGATTCAGATGATGATGATGACGAAGAAGACAAAAGCATCTCAGACACAAACATGGAGGATTGGGGGGGGGGGGGACAGAGAGGGAATAAGGAGAAATGTGGCCAGAGAACAACACTAACGAGGGCACAAGAGTGAAAGAAACAATGATATTGGGGGATAATAGGACAATACTGGTGGAAGATACGTCGTCGGTGGAACCTGCAATGCCAGTGAAGGCACCAAAAGACGGGGGTGGTACAGCGGAAGCTCAACAGTCACCTGGGAATTGTGCCAATGTGGATACGGTCCCTAGAAAGGAAGTGGAAGAGTTACATGGGAATCTTGAGATATTAATGGATAACGGTAACGTTCCTCAACCTAAACAATTTGATGAAGTTAGACTGGGACCCACAATACAAATCTATTCAAATGTTGAAGGAAGTGACGCTCCCGGTGGGCCAATAAACTATTTTGGAACACTTAATAAACTCCCGAAGGGATGCTTTGGGTCGTTACCCTCTCCACGTCTTGTTGATGATACTAATAAGAAAGGAGTATCAACAAGTATGTCTCGTCGTAAAATGAAAAAAAAACATCACCATGGAACCATAATTTCAACATAACTTCATGTTGTCGATGATACCCCTCGCTGACGAAGTGGAAGCTGAATCTAGCACTACATCCATGGAAGAAGCAAAAACTATGGCAATTGGTAAAGAACTGGGGTTCCAAATCGAAACTGGGGATCCGGTTCTACAGGAAGTGATGGGTGAAAATGGTGAGATAAACGTCCCCAAATGAACTGTCTCGGCCTCAATATTTGGGGAATCGGCGAAAATTACAAGACGACATGGGTAAGAAGACTCAAAATCCAAAATTGCATCTCCTTCTTGGGTATACAAGAAACACAATTGACAGATGTCAATAATATCAATGTGGAGGGTTGCTAGGACCAAAATGATTTTAGGCATGTTGCGATGAAATCGGAGGGTAGATATGGTGGATTGCTATGTATGTGGGATTCACAACTATACAATGTTGTGGAAACGATAAAATCAAGACATTATTATCACCATAGGAAATTGGAGCGGGATCACAAGATTAACGGTCTTTGCTAACATATATGGGCCGCATTTTCCTCAAGAAAAGAAGAAAATATGGGATGATCTGCTGCAAATAAAAAACAAGAAAATGGGAGTCTGGATATTCCTTGGCGAATTTAATATCGTACGGAGACAAGAGTAGAGGTATAACTCACAATTTTGTCGCTCCTCAACATTTTGGTTCAACAGATTCATAGGTGAAGCTAAATTACATGACTTGAGAATGGGAGGTCATCGATATACATATTTCTGCTAAACTGAAGTCAGAATGAGCAAACTCGATAGATTCCTAATATGCCCTACCTTATTGAATTACTTTCCGGTGACTACGATAACATTATTACCTAGGGAGGTCTCAGACCACCATCCTGTTCTGATGCGTACTACTACAGATGCTGATTTTGGGAAGACACCCTTCCGATTCTTTAATTCATGGATGAATCGCGAAGGATATGATAAGGTTATTTGCAGGTCCTGGTCTAGTTTTACTGGATATGGTGCCCCTGACGCATACCTTGCTGTGAAATTGAAACATATAAAAAACGAGTTGAAGAAATGGAGAGCTACAGATCATCCCAAAGAAGTCCTGGAATTGAAAACACTCATATTAAGGCTGAAGGAACTCAATGAGAAAGTTGAAGACCAATTAATCATAATTAATGAGATTGAAGAAAGAAGATCAGCTTACTAGAGAATCGCAGATTGGAAAAGATGATGATTCTTGATTCGAAACAGAAATCAAGAATAAAGTGGGAAGTCGATGGGGATGAAAATTCACGCTTCTTCCACAGTTTTGTCAACAACAAAAAACGTAAACATTGCATGTGGTCTGGTGATAAATGGTTCTTGGAACACGAATGTGGAAGAAATAAGACGGGAAGTCTTCAGCTTTTACAAAGAGAAGTTCAAGGGTAAATGGATCTCCCGTCCCAAACTCATCAATCCCAAATTCAGAAAATTAGACTCGATGAATAGTGAGTGTTTAGAGGCCCCATTCAAGTTAGAAGAAGTAAAATGTGCAGTTTGGTCATGTGGAAAAGATAAAGCAACTGGCCCAGATGGATTTAATTTTAACTTCATTAAAAGGCATTGGGCGATTGTTAAGGGAGATATATTTGAAGTTGCTCGATACTTTGAGAAATTTGGAACAATTAGTAGGGGATGTAACTCCTCCTTTGTTACGGTAATACCTAAAGTGAAAGATCCCTTAAAACTTGGAGACTATTGCCCAATCCGTCTCATTGGGTGCGTGTACAAAATAATCTCTAGGACACTTTCCAAAAGATTGAAGAAAATAATTGGGCCGAATATCGGGGAGGAGCAGTCGGCATATGTTGAAGGGAGAAACATCCAAGATGGTCCTATGATTGTCAATGGGTTGTACTCGTGGGCAAAGAAGGAGAAACGAAAGATCCTGCTTTTCAAGGTTGATTTCGACAAGGCATTTGATTCAATTAACTGGGAATATCTAGATTCCCTCTTATGGCAAAATGGGGTACGAATGCAAATGGAGGATGTGGATATCGAGGTGCTTGAAATCGACACGAGCATCGATACTTGTTAATGAATCACCCTCAAACGAATATGAAATTAGCAAAGGAGTCCAACAAGGAGACCCCCTGTCACCATTTCTTTTCATTATAGCCATAGAAGGGTTGAGTATTGCGATGAAGACGGCTTGTGAAAAGGGCATTTTCACAGGAATAAAGATACCACACGATGACATTTCGGTGTCACACCTCTTCTATGCGGACGATGCACTCTTCCCCGGTGAATGGAACAAAGAAAACATCAAGAAGATTGCTAGGATCCTCAAGTGTTTCCATGCCACATCAGGTCTCAAGGTAAAATTCCAAAAGTCGTGTGTTTTTGGAATAGGCGTGAATATGCAGGAGGTAAATAGATGGGCAGCACCACTTGGATGTAAACCGGTCGTGCTACCATTCACTTACCTCGGTGTTCCAGTGGGGGAGAACATGAACTTAAAAAAGAATTGGACACCTATCGTGGAGAAAGTTTATAATAAACTCTCCTCATGGAATGCCAAAAACCTTTCCATGGGAGGTCGGCTAACCTTGATGAAGGCTATTCTTGGCAGTTATTCGTTTTTTTTTCTTTTCAATTTTTGTAGCACCAAGTGGGGTGATTGATAAACTTGAGAAAATTAGAAGGAAATTCTTGTGGGGGAATGGATGAAAAGAGAAAGACCAAATGGGTGGCATGGGAGAAAGTGATGGCACCAAAAAATGCTGGAGGGCTTGGATGGGGATCACGTAAGGCATTTAACCTATCTTTGATTGTCAAGTGGTGGTGGCGACTGAGAGTAGAAGGAAACACGTTATGGGGAAGAGTAATAAAAGGAATTCATAATATTAGAAATAAAGCATCCAATTATATGGCTAGTAAGTCCATTTCAGGGGTATGGAAAAGCATTGCAAGGGTTGGGGAGGAACTGAAAAGGCTGGAAATCAACATTGAAGATATTATTGTAAAACATGTACATTCAGGTAATGACACGTTATTTTGGATTGATAACTGGTACGATAATAGGCCTTTAAAAATTGACTTTCCTAGGTTATATCAACTGGAGAAAAAAAAAGTGCAAGGTAAATGACAGGATTCAAATAGGTGGTATGGAATGGGACTGGAAGGCAAGGCTTTCTACAGATCACATTAGAGACTTGAATGTGTTAGTCTCTAGACTAGGTACATTCCAACTCACCACAGGGACAGATTTGTGGAGGTGCACCCTATCGAATGACAACAAATACCACGTTGATAAGTTGAGAAGATTGATTGATAGTCCCCGAGCAATTATAGATAGTGTGCTGATTGAATGGACGCATGGCGTTCCGATTAAAGTGAACTGCTTTATTTGGCGAGCAATTTAGACAGAATCCCTACTAGTTATGTGCTGCTAAAAAGAGGGATAATAACATAATCACCTAAATGTGGGCATTGCGAAAAAGACGATGAAAATGTAACACACACTTTAATTAAATGCCCCTTTGCAAACATTGTATGGCAGTGGGTATTTCACTGGTGCGGTATATCTATTCCCACTTTTGACAGTATTGAAGAAATACTCACTTTCGTAAAAAATTGGGGGACGTGCAGTAAAAGCAAAGTAATCTTCTAGGTATCTGCTATAGTGTGCTGTGGTTAATATGGAGGGGAAGATGTGACAATTTTTTTAAGAAACTAAGAAGCTCCCAACAAAGGTTGCAGATAATGTTAAATCCATAGTGTTCACTTGGCTCAAACATAGGAGAACAAAATGTCATTATCAATGGGTACAATGGTGTATTAACCCTTTTGTTTGTATGTAAAAAACTATGTTTTCTACTTGCCCCATCTAGCAGCTTGCTAGTTGGTGGCTCTTTTTTAATAATATTTTGCCAGTTCCAAAAAAAAAATGACCATTAAAAATAGAATAACATTGTTATTGTTTTTTATAAGGGTTTAGGTCATTTTTGGTCACTTAACTTTCGGTTTTGTGTTTATTTGGTAACTTAACTCTTTTTAAGTTTTAAAAGGTCATCAAACTTTTGACTTTGTGCTCATTTAGTCACTTAACTTTTGGTTTGGTCACTTAACATTTAGATTTGTGCTCATTTAGTCACCTAAATTTTAAAATTGTGCTCATTTAGTCACTAAACTTTTGAAAAAATTTAAAAGTTTAGTGACTAAATGAGCACAATTTTAAAAGTTAGGTAACAAAATGTGAACAAACCAAAAGTTAAGTGACTAGATGAGCACAAAACCAAAAGTTTGATGACATTTTAAAACTTAAAAAGAGTTAAGTGATCAAATGAGCACAAAACTAAAAGTAAAGTGACCAAAAATGACATAAACCATTTTTATAACTATGGTTAGAAAATTAGGACTAATATTATAAAAGCCCTAAATTTTTAACGCGTATTTGGAAAAAGCCCTAATATTTTTTTTTATTATTGCTATGGTCACAACTTTCTCGCAAAATTATCACTCTAGCCCACTTAACGAGTTTCATAGTTAACTTGGTTAACTTTTTTGCAAAATCAGTTCTAAAAAGTTTAAATTTGGTCCCTGAGATTTGCAAAAAATTACACCACATTATTTTTTAACTTTATTTTTCGTTTTTTAATACTCTATTTATTTTCGGTTTTTTTATAAATATATATAAATTTTTTTATTTTCTTTTTTATATATACTTTATTTATTTTTATTTTTTAACTTTATTTTTCAACAATTTGATTTTTTTTTTACATTTTTACCTTTTGTTTTCTATTTTTTAGTGTATATATAGAGTATATTAGAGTTTTTTTTTTTAGTTTTTTTCATATTTTTTTCGTATTATATTTTAATTTTTTCATCTTTTTATTTTTTTAATTTTTTTCTTATTTGTTTTCCAATTATTTGTTTTTATTTATTTTGTATTTTTAACTTTTTATTGAACTTTTTCAAAAAAATGTTAAACGTATTAGTATATTATAGTATATTACAATTTTGATAATGTATATTTTTTGTAATTTTTTATTTTTATTCAAGTAAATAAAATAGTTATGTTTATATATGTAATTTCGGCCCAACTTATTTTCTTTTTGTTTTTTTCATATTTCTATATATGATATCAATAGTTTAAATTCAAGATAACATTTTTCAATTTGATAATAGACTAAAAAAAAGAACAAAAAAAAATTGTAGTTGGTCTCTATAAAAAAAACTTGTTATAGTAATTTATATTAAATTCAAGTTCGTTTACATAAATCAAATTAAATAAAAACATTAGAAAAACCATAAATAACTAAAATAGAAAAAAATAGAAAACAAAAGGTAAAAATGTAAAAAAAAAAAAAAATCAAATTGTTGAAAAATGAAGTTAAAAAATGAAAATAAATAAAGTATATAAAAATGTATATATATTTATAAAAAAACCGAAAACAAATAAAGTATACAAAAAACAAAATATAAAGTTAAAAAAACATGTGGTGTAATTTTTTGCAAACCTTAATGACCAAATTTGAACTTTTTAGGACTGATTTTGCAAAAAAGTTAACCAAGAAACTCGTTAAGTGGCCTAGAGTGATAATTCTGCGATAAAGTTGTGGCCATAACAATAATAAAAAAAATATTTAGAGCTTTTATAATATTAGTGCTAGAAAATTAATACTAATATTAAATATACTATAGTTAAAAATAACAAATTAGAATGAGAATCGCCGATAATTAATAACTATATTTTTTTAAAGCATGCATTCTAGATGATTGATAAAAAAAATAGAGTAATTTAATAAAACTATAATTCGACAAAAAATAAAAATAATAATAATAATAATAATTTAATAATGATAATAATAATAATAACTAGAAAGGTTACCCCCGCTACGTGGGGGCCAGAAACTTTCAATGATGTTTGCGAATCGATAAATATGACAGACGTAGAAAGTGCAACGATGAAAAAAGCCTGGACTTTGCCACGGACCGTTTTTTTCATGTTTTTATGAAAAAATGTAAAAGTTTTGACTGCAAGGACCAGAAGTGTCAAAATGGATAAAGAATTAAAGGGGTAGGAATTAGCAACTTTTTAGAAAAGGGATCAAAGTTGTCAAACCGTTAAAGTTTTGTGACCAAACTTTAAAGATTAAAAGGTTCCTAAGAAGTGTAAAAATATTGATTGTAAGGACCAAAAGTGTCAAAATAGTTAAAGAATGAGGAGCAAAGTTGCCAAAAAACATCCAGTTTTTATGAAAAAATATAAAAGTTTTGACTACAATGACCAGAAGTGTCAAAATGGCTAAAGAATTAAAGGGGTAGGAATTTGCAACTTTTTAAAAAAGGGATCAAAGTTGTCAAACCGTTAAAGTTTTGTTGCCAAACTTTAAATATTAAAAGGTTCCTAAAAAGTGTAAAAATATTGGTTGCAATGACCAAAAGTGTCAAAATGGTTAAAGAATAAGGAGCAAAGTTGCCAAAAAACATCCAAATTTATTATTCTTAACTTTGAAGCACAATAATAATACAAGGATCAATTCTGCCAAAAAAATACAAGTTTACTATTCCTTTTCTTCATAACTTTATTATATATAAGTTTACTATTCATTTTCTTTCGTAACTTTAATATATATATATATATATATATATATATATATATATATATATATAATAATGTGGAGGAGGTTAACAATCTTGATGATCCAACGTAATAATTTACGAGTTTTTAATTTTTTACTGTATGTACTAATTAAAGTAGAAACTACGCGCGTAAATTCCATCACCTGTACTGTTTAAAGTGACGACGGTTGTTTTTATTTTTTTAGCTTATCCTTTTCTCCATTTCACTTGACGTTTCACACAAGCCAGAGAACCTTTTTTCTACGCGTTATCATCCTCACTCACTCTCTCTCCTAAAACCCTAAATTCTCTTTCTAAAAGCTTCTTCAAATCCCCTCTTCTTCATAAGAATCAATATATGGATGATGACAGCAGTATCGATCCACTCTCCGGAGACTCTACCTGGACGCTCTCCGGTGATTACAGCTTCTTCGGGATTACCGATACAAGAGACAACAACATATTGAGCGAGTTCGGATGGAACTTCCATCCTCCAGCACCGGTGTTAGATCGGATGGATTCCGGCGGTAGTTGTGGTGTTCCGGAGGAGATTAATCCTACTACTAGTCCAGTTCCGGTTCATTCTCAGGTTGGATCCGTTGAAAACGTAAGAGACGTATCTATGTCAAAGCCGTTGGTTTCTACCAGCTCTTCCGAGGATCGACCGGAGTCTTCTGCAGCTTCTGGTGATGCCGCTTCCGGTGGTCAACCGCCATCTTCGGACACAGGGTGAGTAAGTGGTAGTGGTATACAGCGGAAACTACCATACACTATCAATGCCTTCATCTCTTCACATATGAGAATCGATTTTATAGAGTGTTTGTTTCAGATGTAGCAATTACTTTATATGAAAAGAAGATTAAGCGCTGAGTTTTTTGGAAAAAGTTGAAAGTAGTTATTATTTTAAAGGAATACGAATTCTTCTGTGTCATCCGTACTTGTAATCTTAGATGGCACCCACCATATTTGTTCGATAGCCATTACTAAAAGCTGTTCACGCAAGTTGCGATGGCATTTCTGTAATTATTTAGACAAATGAAGCTATAGAGTCTTTCTTTTCTATTTTCCACCACTAGTGAGCGTGAACTCCGCCGCTATTGCGGCGGAAATGGCGTGGGTCTAGCGTTAGCGATGGCGTGCTGTTTTTGGCATCTTTTTTCCACATAAAATAACGCCAGAAAATCGGTGCATATATATTTATTTATTTATGTTCGAATATATATTTGTTTTAACTTGCCGATTTTGAAACAAGAAAAAGTGAGTAATTTTTTTTGCTTCACTTTTGCTTTTTCAGATTATTGTGAGTGACCTGAACTTGAACTGACAAGCATGGCCCCGTAGCTAGGAAATTGCACAAAAGTTGCTCGAGATGTAATGCATCTAAATCTTCTCGCAATGTGTTTCTTGCCATGCTTTTACGTCAACTAAATTAAATTTTCTCCATACTTTCTAATAAATGAGTTTTTAAATCCCAAAAATGATCTGTCTCATTCAATCTCAAAGCAAGTGTTAATACATTTCTTCGTTATTTCATTAGGTATATATATATATCATATATCAATCCAATAAGTTACATGGTTAATAATTAGAGCTTAACATTTTATAATAATATTTACATGATCCATGTCTTACCCTAAAGTTTTTGTTTTTCAGGGGTAAAGTCAAAAAGAAAGGGCCAAAAAGAATCCGGCAACAACGATTTGCATTCATGACCAAGAGTGAAATCGATCATCTTGAAGATGGTTACAGATGGAGAAAATATGGACAAAAAGCTGTTAAAAATAGCCCTTTTCCTAGGTAATTATAATTACATTTCATTATCTCTTAAATCATACATTCTAATCATATCAAAATACTATAAACTTTTACTAAATAATTCTACTTAATGTTCTACTTAATGGATCATGATCACAACTATCAAAATCAATGAGACGAGGAAATAGAAGTGGTGCATTACACATATCAATAATTATGGATGCAGTAGAAGCATAAAATAGGAGGGAATTTTATTTTCCAAACTTTCTTTCTTTAATTTACCTCTTTCATCAGGCATTCAGTTTTTAAAACTGCTATTTTTGGTGTATATAGGTACACCATGATTTCCCAATATAGATAGCTCGCCTTACATTCTAAATGTATCTCTTTTTTTTTTTGAAAAAAAAAAACAATTGTTTTGAAGGAGCTACTACCGATGCACAAATAGCAAATGCACTGTGAAGAAAAGAGTTGAACGTTCATCAACAGATCCCACAACTGTGATCACAACATATGAAGGTCAACATTGTCACCACACAGTAGGGTTTCCAAGAGGATTATTAAATCACGAAAATGCATATTCAAGATTGTTGGCTTCTCATCATTCAACTACACACCAAGTTATATATCCAAGAACACCATTGCCAAATCTTGGTGCCTCTAAATTACAACCAAAAGTAGAATCTAATGAAGCTGATTTTAAACATCGTAATTCTGATGAAAAACCTCAAGAATCATTTCAAGATTCTCGTTTAGATCATCAAGGGTTGCTTGGGGATATTGTGCCTACAATTATGCGCAACTGACTATATATATAAAAGGTACGTGTTTGCTAATTACATTTAAAACCTTCTTTTTAAATTGGAGAGTTTACCTTTTTTTTTTTTTAATTATTTGTTCAAGTTGTTTCTTTTACATGCTGCCTTAATCCACATGTTAGTCCTTGATGTTTTAGGGTCCCTTTGGTAGAACCTTTGAAAAGATAAGGGGTGCAGTAGTCTCATAAAACGGTACTGATTTTAAATTAAGAGTCCAGTACGTAGGAGTCAGGGGAAATGTAAAAATTAGGTGAAAATATAAAAAATCTAATTGGTATCTTCTTGTTTTTATAGGTTCTTAATTAGTATTGAAATAATTATTGAAAAGGCGAATCAATTCTTATACTAGAGTACATTTTATTCAGAAGTGTTTTTGTAAAATAAAGTTTATGTTTTTTTCATATATATCATTTAACAATACATCAATTTACCTTATTATCTATATCAGGATTCAAAATCTTTGTTTTCTTTTCACAGTTAATATATGTAATTAAAAATTTTATAATACTTTATTTTACTTCCAGATATCAAATGTTACGAGCGTTAATAGCGGTTATATTATACATTTTTTTAAAATTTTTATAACATAAAAGTGATGATTTTATTTTTTTTAACTATATAATATCAAATAGTTTTATTTCTTAAAAATGACAAATTAATTAAAATGGCTAAAAAAACTTTTAAAAAAAGTTAATCATTTAAGAATATTATGATAATTGACATTTTTAAAATAAAATTAATCAGAAATTATAATATTATAAAAATAATAAATCATGGTATAGATTAACCATAATCGATAGATGAATTGATAATTAATTTTCTATTGTAATCTAACCTAAACACATTCGATCCAAAGAATATATTACGTACGTTTTTTTTCTTTTTAATCAAAACCATGTGACTAGCTAGCTATAAACATGTGCATCACATTATATATCCTGTAAAAATTGTTGCCTAATTAATGCTGTATTACATTCATCTTAAAGTAAACATAACAATATACATAATAATTATTCAGTAATGAAGTTACTCACCCGAGTAAATATTTCCTTAGTGTTTTTATTTTGTTAAAAAAATATAAACTAAGGTTTTTTTTTTTTAATATATATATATATATATATATATATATATATATATATATATATATATATATATAATATATTGTTTTTATTTTGTTAAAAAAATATAAACTAAGGTTTTTATTTTATTTTATATATATATATATATATATATATATATATATAGTAATTTCTAAGCCATATTTATATGTAATCGTTGTGGTATCTAACATCTTTGACTCAGTTAAACTATAGTCAGTGCAAAATACACACATGGTCCCGAAATGTTTCAAGTCTTTTGACATGTCTTTTCATTCTTAACGATAACATTTAAGAGGTAATGCAATCATTAAAATGATTTGAATTACTTATTTATATTCATGTTTTGACTTTAAACAAGTTATTTTCTCATACGCAACTGTTTTTTACACATCCATAATTTCTACTTGTGCATGGCATTATATCATCAGTTTGTTATTTATCATGCATTTATATACGCTTTAAATCACACCCATAATTTTTATAAATGTTGATAATTATTTACACTCAACAGTTAACACTTTTGTCACCTAAAGATGCTCCTAGACCTTGTACTTCTTGTAGTAGCCAAGATGCATGCACCTTTCAAAGCCCACAAAGATAAATGGTCCTTACTCTACCTTCAATATGGTCCACTGGTCCTATCTCCTATGAAATTGATTGATAATCATTGTGCATACTATTATGCATTTATTTTTAAACAAAGATGAACAGAAATAATTTAAACCCCTAAACTTTTAACTGTTACTATCTAACATGTGTCATAATTAATTCATAAATTTCATCATGTTAAATGATTCATGAATATTAAAACCTTCTTTTGTGATGTTAGCTAGTCCTAAAACTTGTATAATGTTCTTGCATTTTTTTTAACAATTTTCTGATGTGCCCTTTATCATGCTTTGTTTTGGAGTTGTTAATTAGTTTACCCCCCAAAAGGGTACACATGTTAGGAACCTAGATTTAATAGTTTTTTAGTACAAGGTGGATATCATTTTCAAAGATATACATGATTCCCTTTTCTAGAAGAAGTGAGCACCAATACCCTATTGGTGCCTGTTATTTTAATCCCATTATCAAAACTCATTTTGTACTTAAACATTGTTATCAAATATATCACGTACAACATGATTTCTTTTATTATATAAATACAGATAAAAGTCATCACATTTGGTATTATATTGTTTATGTGTATTACTTTATATGTTATATAACCTTTTTATGTGTTTTTTAGTCTAAACAGTCGTATAATGTTACTATTAATTATAATCTATGTTACTTGTAATAATATTATAAAAAAAATTATATTAATGATATATAAATTAGTTCAACTTATGGGTTCTGAAATTATTAATAATATCTTCTTGTAATTTAAAACATAGTAACAAACCTAAATGTATGTTATAAACGTACTATTTTATTTAATAAAAAATATTTTTGTTACTACTTTGACAATAACTTCTAAATTAGTTATTTAAGAATAACTTGTTTTGGTTATAATTTTTTAATTAAAATTTTATAAACTATTTTGAAAGATATTAGTCAAATTTATAAAATGCTAACAAGTATAAGACTAATATTGAAAATCTATATATACCACTTAAAAAATATATTTGAAATTACTTTTAATGTTTCAGAGTATCATAATGGTATATTTGGTATGATATAATGATATCATCTCCCTATACTAATAAAAGAGTAGTTCTTTTGTCATATGTCACCCTTTTAGGCCTCATAATTAATGTCATACCATTTGTCAACCTATTGATTCACCATTTCAAATTTCAAAATTTAAATTTCTCACTCTAATTACATTAAATTAATAACATTAGAATAAAAATTAAAATAAAATTAATACAAACTATAAGGTGATATAATTTTATGTATTTATTTGAATCAACGATTATAATTTTATATATCTAAAAAATATTTTTTAATTAATAATTTATTTAAAATAATTGATTAATAAGTTTGAATGTTTACAATGAAAGTTATATTAATTTTGTAACCATGGTTCCCACGGGTTATAAACTAGTAAAAAATAAAAGAATGGAAATAAGTAATAGTAAGACACGAGATAATGGATCTGATTCTTAAATTTTGTTGTCATATTTTGGTTGACTCTATAAAAGAATATAATAAATCCTTCAAAAATAATGTTTGTTATGTATGAATAAAAAGTTAAAATAATAAAACATAAATAAAAAAGAAAACAATATTTTATAAAAATAAACTATAACAAAGTTAAAAGTTTATTGTTAAATAAGCTGAAGGTAAGGATTTAAAGTATATATTAAATGTATTTCATATACTTAAAAAGGAATTATATTTCATCCAAAAAGTTGTTTAAAATTAAAATACCATGATATCTTGAAGTAATGTAATCATAAAAAATATTTACCTTTAGAAATTAAAACAATAATAATAATTGTTTCTAAAATATTAGTATTATTTGAGTTATATGAGTAAGCATAATTATAATAAAAAAAAATATTATTTCATTGCCTCTGGAAATATAGCACACCACTTCTTTTTGAATAAAAAACATAAAATCAAAAGGATCGAAATTAATTCTCAAATTTCATTCATTTATGGTAAACAAACATCTAGTTTTTTCATTTTGTCTCTGTTCTATTCATTCTTTCATTACTGCATAGGTTGAAAATGAATCATAGTTATATATATATATATATATATATATATATATATATATATATATATATATATATATATATATATATATATATATATATATATATATATAAAAGGTTTCGTTGCCAAATCAAGTTGGTTAACTTTAGTATATATAGGAGAGATGGGTAAAATATATATATATATATATATATATATATATATATATATATATATATATATATATAAAGGTTTCGTTGCCAAATCAAGTTGGTTAACTTTAGTATATATAGGAGAGATGGGTAAAAAAAAATGTTCTTGCATGCTAATGGTAATAGCGGGCACAAGAAGCTTTCTAATGGCTATGTTTAAAAATTGTAAAGTTGCATTCTAACTCTAAAAAGTATAGTCTAAGCTCAAAGAAAACAATTTAGTACGAGCCTAGAAGAATGATGTATTTTGATGATCCTAGGATAGTACATAGATCAAATCATTATTTTTTCTAGATTGAACTCTAGTAATAATTGAGTTTATTCTTGTATGTATTTGTGCTTGTGTTCTTACATGTGGCTATAGACCTAAACTAGGGGTAGATTCCTTTTTGGAAAACTCATCTTTTGTCATGTTATCTGCCTAACTTGTTCTTTTTCTTTCCTTATGTTTTCATCTTCATTTTTTGCTTAGCGAGTTCATATGTATGTGCATTGTCATTGATTATATAGAATAATGTACAATGATGCTTTTACAAGTTATCCTTTTCTAGTTTAGAAAAAAAGGGTCAATTTTATGTTTTTTTCAACTTCAATCTATTTACATCTTTTAGCTAGGGAAGAATTATCGCGAACAAGTCCGTGTCATATTTAAATCAGTCTCTTTTCAATACATGATAAATGCATGATAAGACTGTATGTTCTATCATATACTATATAAATATTTTTTTACACATTATAATATGCAACACATAAGTGGTTAGAAATTGACATAGAAGATGTAATTTAACGGGTGAACGTTGTTTTTTTTTTTTAGCAGTTACAGATGGTAGATTGGGATTGCACTCCAAGTTATCCACCAAAGACTCGTCAATTTTAGGTATTACAAAAGTTCGAACTTTTGATGGAGATGCATTGACTAAAAAAGTTTTTAGTCTACTCAATTGTTTATTCATTCTCTTCTTTCAACTAAGTGGCTAACCTTCTCTCATATTCAAGTTTTCACTTTTAAGTGCATTAAACCCAAGGATTTTATATAATTGTTATGTATATGTAATAACATTAGGTTATTGTAATATAATTATCCACCGAAAAGTGTTGGTATTTTAAGTTCCTTTTGATAAAGTACGAATATTATAGTGATATGTTACAAATAAAAATGAACAGAGTTGGAAGTAGAAATTGCATGAGAAAGAGAAAGGGTGTGGGGGTAATTGGAATAGTTGATGCATGAAATGATTGGTAGTTTGATGTAGAGAAGTGTGCGCCTGATAACTGTCAATATCGGGTGGATTTCGATGTTGCTTCAAAATTTTGTCAGCCGACAGTATATATTCTCCCTTTTCCCTCTTTTTTACCCCTTTTTACATCATGCCGACAGGCCCTTTTTACCTTTTCTAATATTTCTACTTCTTTTTAAACCAAAAACTAACCACTTCTACTTCTTCATTTCTTTTAGAAAATGTTTTACATGTTAATTGTTTTGTTTTTTTAGATAAATAGTATTATATATTTTGTATTCCAAAAAGTTAGACTTTTTGAACTATAGAATTTTTTTAAGAAACACTAACAAGATAGAGAAATAGTACACCTAAATGAATCACAAAAAACAAACAAACATACAAAATTATGTTTGATAACGACTTAAAAAAATAATATATTTTTGATTTTTACATATTTGATCATTAAATTATTTTTTTTCGTTTACATTTATCCATTTGTTTAAATTGTACATATTCATTTCTTATGACCGACTACTCCAGATAAATCGGAAAAATGACTTAATATGATAATATATATTTATCACTTTGTACACATTTTTGTTGTAAAATAAGTCATTATTGTTTTTGTACACATTCAATACTTATAACCGGTTTGTTTAGGTTTTTTCTCACGACATCCTATGTGAGATAATCATTAATGAGATGTTCGAGGTTGTTGATGCTTATGGCCACCGCGGCCCTGGTTGCTTGGTCGCTAAGGTCTTGTGGTTTTGCTTAGGTCTTGTCTTTTCAACGTCGTAACTTCTTCAAACGATTTCTGATTTTAACGATCTTTATATTCACGTGTGCATATTTGGAGCTATTACAACTTTTGTTTTAGATTACTCCTGTTAAAAACTAATATATATTTTTACTTGGGATCTTTATATCCATGCATTCTTTATGAATGTATGTATAAACGTTTTTTTTATAAAATCGTAAGTGAAAATATATTACTTTTTAACGGTAGTAATCTAAATGAAAGTTGTAGTAGACTCAAATAAGAACGCCCGGATATAATAATTATTCAAATCTGAGATCATATGAAGAAGTTACGACGTTCAGAACGCAAGATCTAAGCCTAACCACAAGACCTAAGCAACCAAGCAGCCGAGGCCGCGGTAACCAAAAACATCAACATCCTCGAACACCTCATTAATGATTGTCCCATGTACGATGTCGTGAGAAAAACTTAAACAGACGTATTGAATGTGTATAAAAACAACAAACTTATTTTTCAATAAAAAACTATTAAAGACTAAATGTGCAAAAAAAAAATTTTGAAGGATTAAATGTGTACAAGGTGAGAAAATATATTACCCTATTAATTCATTTTATCAGCTTACCTCGAGTAGCCGGTCATAAGGATTGAATGTGTACGATTTAAACAAGTTGAAGGGGGTAAATGCGGACAAAAAAACTCAGTGACCAAATTAATACAAATCGAAAAATATATTAACCTTTAAGTCATTATCCCTCTAAATTATGACGTTTAGTTTTGAATTTTATCTATAAGTATGAGTCGGCTTGAATCTTACCTTCCATATTTGGGGAAAGGATAAAAATCTACTTTTCAACACCCGAAATTTCTTACATTCTATATGAACCGAATTGCCAAGAATAAGACGTTGTAAAGTAATTTGGATTATTTTATAGATTTATCAGGTGACCACGCTTTAACGTGAACTCAATACCGGAATCGCACCGAACCGCTACCGAATACAAAAGTATCGTAACCAAAAATTGTATTTTGTGGGAACCAAGTACCAAACCCATAGGTTCTATATGGTATAGATACTTCGACACCAATTTCATTAGTATCAATTTTTCACTTTACATAAAACATGTTAAAGGCTATAGAACTTGAGGTTAAGTACAACAAAACAAGATGTTATTGATTTTAATATGAATTTAAGACAAAAAAGTACAAATAGCAAAAAATCAACCTAGGGGTGTTCATAGTTCAATATACAATGTTTTTTTTATAAAACTGGTTCAATCAGGCTAACAATCTATTGGATATTAAATATTGACAACCGATCTAATTCAATTAAAAATGGTCAATCGAACCAAACATGTAACATCCTAAATTTATGTAACATCCGTTTCCTCGTGTACATGTCCTATATTATTATTAGAGCCTTAATTTTATTTTGGGAAAATTGGTCTTACGCGGGGCGTTGGTAGTCAGCTACGCATGACGTAGGTCAACAAGTCACCTATGTTAGTTATGAGTTGTAACATCCCGATGATGAGGTAATTTCAATTTTAACCTTAAGTTTGAATAAAATTTGCATTCTAGTCCTTATCACTACTAGAAAAACAGTCTTTTACGACGAGCAATGCGTGTCGTAAAACGCTCAGACGACGCGCAAATGCATGTCAAGAAAGGCCCTATCATAACGAGAGACAACACGCTTTTGCGCGTCGTCTATAGACGACGCGTATTTACGACGCTCATTTACGACACGCAATGCGTATCAAGAAAGGCCCTGTGATAAACGAAGACGACACACATTTGCGTGTCGTAACCTTACAACGCGCGTTAAGGACACACATTGCGTATCATTATAACCCCTGTCATAAATGAAGATGACACACATTTGCGTGTCATAAACTTCAGCAACCATTTACAATATGCATATACGACGTGCCTTTACGATACTCTTTTACGCATAATACAAAAATATAGAAAAAAAATATATACCAAAACAATAAATTTCATCCAGTAACATCATGTCAAAAAATTGTAATACATTGATATTAAAGGGATCTAATTGTACATTGTTTTTAAGAGGTTTTCCGTAACTATATAACTAATACTACATTGCTATAAAGGGGCGCCTTCTTGTTTCACATATCATGTCAAAAAAATCCTTCATATCATTAGTTTGTCATGACCTGGTGTACTGTACTGGGCTGCTGTCCACCGGAAAGAGCATCCCAGACTCCATCACTTGAAATTACAAGTCGCCTACCAGCAGAAGATGGCTGAAGATCATGAATAAATAAAAGTTGTTAATAAAAAGAGAAATAAATTGAGTTTAATTACAAAACTAACCTTCACTTGTTTGACATGAGGAACTGGAATAATGAACTCCCCAACATCTCTATCTCCAATAGATCTTGAAAGTCATAACCCACCTCGCTAACATTTTAAAGTACCAATCTATCATAAATATAAACCACCATACCATAATACACACATATTTTTAAATCTCTTATTTATTTCATTCAAATTTAACATACCAGTGATCCAATAGCCACTAATGCTCGATATTTCGCATCAACTTCTGAAGTCTCCCCTTCTGCAATCTGTAGGAAAAAAAACATTTTACAAATTTGCCCTTGTAAATTTTCTAATTTAAGTATTAAAAAAAGTTTTGTGTGTATGTTACCTCTAAAGCTGCTGAAAGAACATGAGATTGACCTTCTTCATCCTTCTTTTCAATCAATAGCACGGCATAACTGTAACGCTCAAAATAAGTGGATCATCCATTTAGTTCAGATAATGATTTATTACCTCTGCATCTTAATTCTTTACAACTTGAAGCAAAAAAATGATATCTTTCCATCAAAATAAGATTCTCCTTGTCCTTCTTCCCCCACGCCTACATATTCAAAGTAACCAACTTTTTAATTGAATTACAAAAATGGTCCCTATGCTTTCTGATCTTTAACATGTTTACTCCAAAATTGAAACTTTTTTAATCTAAAATCAAGATCTTAGGTACAAACTAAATGTAGTGTAAAAGTGCTTACTCTTTCTGTATCATCAGGAATTAGAACAACAGTTTCTTGAACAAGTACCACATCAAGGGTTTTGTGATGCTTTTTAGGGCAATCAGTTAGAGCAATCAGTCTTGAATCAAAGTAAACCTTTTTAGGGTCAAGCAGATTAACCATTTCAAGAGCATAAAATAGTTATTCCTTGATGTAAATGGATTAAACCAAGAGCATAAAGTGCAGCCCCTTCTGAATAGGGACTACCACCTCCGCCACCACCACCCGCCCCACTTTGTGGAAGGTAAGGTGCCATTAGTGGTCTTCCTTGCTGTAAATGGCCTCCATGGATAACACCTAGTCCAGCTGTCGCGCTGAACTTAGCCCAATTTGTTGCCCTGCTTAGCCAATCCTGAAATCGTATCCAAACATAAAACATTTACAAATTGCTCATAAATCTTGCTACAAATATAAGCAACGGATGTTCTTTTTAGGTATTGCATTGTTGCTATTATGAGTAAAGATTTGTAAGTCAGTTACAAATATGTGTAAAGAAAATGTACATACATTGCTATTATAGTAGTAAAATGATGAAGTATGTAGATATGATATAGTGAAATTACCAGATTCTCCCTCAAGAATGTATCCACTGTTGTTCCAGCATGCATAAGTGTGTTAGCGTATATAGTTGCACTGTGGCAAACACTGTTTCTCAGATGGATCTGTTTCAGGTACACTTGGGGTAGGCTAATGATCGGACATCACGAGTTACATACCGGAAAATCTAACTGCTTAAGAAGCATTACAGCCTCCGCTCTTGCTTGTATTCATTCAGATTCAGAAGAAACCTTATCCTAAAAGACATATATGTGAAACGGCTATATAAGGATCTGAATAATATTATCATAAATAAATTAACCATGAATATACCTGAAGCTTGTTAATGATAACTGGAATTACTTCTTCAGATGCTTTCTTACAATCCTGCAATGAGGAGTCCCTATATGCCTGGTGAAAGTTCAACATACAGAGAAAAAAGATAAATGAATTGCATGGGTTTATAAGCATCTGATATAACAAAACACAAAAGAATGAAAAGTTAATCAAATAACCTTAAATATTGGCATGGCTCCAGTGTAGAACCTCACTGCATCACCATATGCTTTAGATTTGATGCATTTTCCATATGCTTCAGATTTGATGCTTTGGTTCTTCTGGCACTCCCATCGGTGAACCTCCTTTCTCTGTCACTCCTTCCACACTTAATGTTTTAGGAAAAAAGATCAGATTTTTAATAGTGAGATCAAATCGTAAATATTAAAATTTAGTGTAATGAAAGTATGAAACATGGTAAAAGCTATGTAAATTTAATACCTTTAGAAATAAGCCATCAGTTTTCTACATGATGTTAGCTTTGTGTATAGCAGAAACTCTTTTTCTACCATGAGCTTTAGCATATGAAAAGCATATTCAGCCACTCTCAAACTTGCATGACGTGTTATGATTTTAAGACTTTCAACAACTCCCTTGACAACCTGTAGAAAGATCAGAATTTGCATAACATTGATTTGAATGTATCATGTATGATATGAATGATGAATCTACATGAAAATGATATAAACTTACTTGATGTTCAAGACCACTGTATTCTCCTTCTGTGTTTTCACAGATTGTGATAAGATTCACATCATCATATCGAGTTTTGTAACCAGGTAGACTGTAACATGGTCTGACATTTGCATACAGGTTTAGTTATTTTCTTAAAGTGAGATTCACGGAACGATGACCTTTTCCAATTGGTGTAGCCATGGGACCTTTTAATTCAACCTTGTTTCTTCTTACAGATTCTAGACTTTCCCATGTGACAAAGCTTTGGGTTCTGGGATCTACTTCTGTCCCTACATAATGTTCTTCCCAATCAATTGGGACTTCTGCAACATTGAATATCTGCATAATGAGAAAAGCAAATTCAACATACATACATAATTTGATTAGCGATTACTATTATAAATTGAATCTATACCAACTAAACAGTAGAATGATAATACGAAATTCTTAAACCCCAAAATATGCAACAAAAACCTAAAAATGAAAGAAAACAACAACATAAGAATAACAAAACTGTGTTAAACAAACAAGGATCAGGTTTTAGCAATATATTAAGTATAAAGAAGGCGGAATTGAACCTGTTTGACAGAGGTTGCGATTTCGGGACCAATACCGTCGCCGGGGAAGAGAGTGGCGCGAATGAGATCGGAGGAGCTAGAAGAATAGCTCCGATCGGTCGGCGAGAAAAGCCTGTTGGTAGGGTGGAGTGGTTGTGAATACCTCATCCGCTGTGTGGATTCGGAGGAAACGTATCGCAATCTGCAAAGCCATGGTTAACGACTTGCTGAAAGGAAACGCCAAGTGAAACGCCAGTTCCAAAGAAATCAAAAAAAGTCAAAAAAAAAAACGCCAGTTCCAGATAAGCGGAAGCTTGGAAGAAAATAAAACCCTAGCACGTGCTAGAGAGAAGGGAGGTGGCAACGGCTTAGGGTTTACAGGGAGACGGGAGGTAGAAAATGAATGGAGATCTAGAGGAAAGAGTATCAGATAGGAGAGTCGATTGCGAAGATGAAATATAGATAAAATGTAGAAAGAACGAGGCGGGTTTTCAAAATTTCAGGGATTTCGTTTCCCCCCTTGTCTATTAAACGCGCGTTTCATTAAAATTATAAAGTGACAGGTACAGACGACGCACGTTTAATATAAAGCGCCCTCTGTGTTTTTAATTTTTTTTTCTTGAGACACTAAATTAAGGGCACGCAATAATGTGTGACGTAAATCCTTAAAACTTTTGAAGAGATGCCGCTATTTTAAGGACGCTCTCTTTTGCGTAACATAAATCAGTGCGTGTCGTAAATTGCGCGTCGTAAAAGGCTGTTTTTCTAGTAGTGTATGCATGAAAAAGGGTGCAAAATGGCCCACAATGGCATTTTGGTAATTTTAGGCAGGAGGTAGTACGCTGAGCGTACGTTGTGTACACTAGGCGTACTAGGGCGGACCCTAATACATTGGGCGTACACCAGGTATGCAGTGTGTACGTAATGAAACCTCAAACCCTAATTTTTAGGGTTTGGTCCATATATAAGCATCATTATAACCTTATTTATCATTCCCTCATCAGCCTCCAACTGAAAATTCGACCCTCTAGCAAATTATAAGTGAGAAGAGTGATTTTGAGCTCATTTTGTGTGCTTTGTTGGTGTTCTTGAAGAAGAAGAAATGGTGCAAGGACCTTGAAGCTTGGAAGCAACTTAGATTTGGGATTCTTCACTTGTTAGCTACCTCCAAAAGGTAAAAAGTTCATAACTTGATCACGCTATCTTGTAGATATAGTCATTTCTCCATTTAGGGCACTTTTGGTCCCAAATATGGTGATTCTTGAGCATGGCATGCTATTAACCAAATAAGTCGTCCTTTCAGACCCTATGAGGGGTCTTGAGTCATAAAAATGTGGTCTTAAAGCTTAGTTATTCTCCATGCATGCTCTAGAAGGTCATAAGGCATTAAGAAGTTGGGATTTTGTGTATTAAGCACTTAATGGACATGCGAAGTCATAAAGTTGGAAAGTTTATGACTCTTGGTCGTATTTTGGCCTTGGATTTGAAAGTTGGATGTAAGAGCTTAATGCATTAAGCTCTTATTGAGAAAAGGGGGTTCTAATTTTGACTGAGTACGCCCTGCGTACCATACAGTCATCGAACTTACATGTGTACGCTGTGCGTACGAGGTCAAACTCTCGACTGCGGTCAAAGCCCGAGTACACCCTGCGTACCTTCGTAGTACGCCCCACGTACAAGCCCTGAGTTGACTTGGCTAAGTTGACTCGGTTGGGTTGACTCAGTTGACTTATTGATTTTGACCAAGGGTATTTTGGTAAAATGTTATTAATTTAGAATGAGAAATGTTTTGACACTTAGGATTTGGGTTGAGCCGGTTTTCGGAGCTAGGAGTTATTTAGACTACATTCAGACTGTGAGGTGAATATTCCTCACTGTACTTACGGGTCGAAGGCACCAAGGCCGGCCCATTAGATTGATATCTTGGTTACCGTATGTTGTTATGCTGCAGTGATCTGTTAGATTTGTATCCTTGTATATAAGATGTTGTTATGCTGTTATGATTCGTTAGATTCGTATGATTATCTGCATTTACTGGCTTTGTGTTCATGTTTGTTTGTTGAATATGTCGACATGTTGGTTTGGGTTGAGGTGGTCCTGCTTTGTGTTATAGGCCAAGACACCCGGGGACGACCAGATAGGCTGTAGGCCCTGCGAGGCGGTTCAATCAGGCCGGCGGCCCGTAGATCAGTTTGGATAGGCTGTAAGCCCTGCGAGGTGGTCCAGTCAGGACGACAGCTCATGGAGCGGTCCAGATAAGCTGTAGGCCCTGTGAGGCGGTCAATTCAGGCTGGCTGCTCATGTTTGCATGCTTGCTTGTTATGTGGTGTGTTGGTACTTTATGGGAACTCACTAAGCATTGGCTTACAATTTTAGTTTTCTTTCAGGTACTTCTGAGGATCGTGGCAAGGCGAAGGCATGACCGTAAACATCCTCGTTTTATGTTGATTGGATCTTGGGAGACTCTGATTTTAAATAATATTTTAGAAACAATGGTTTTGTAAACACTTCTTTTTAGTAAATGGATTGTTTTGAAAAGTTTAAATTTGTTGTGATTTTGGAGTGTTACAAGTTGGTATCAGAGCCTTGGTTTGAGCGAATTGGAGGAACACCCGTGTGAATCCATGCTCAAACTAAGGGACTGCAAAAGTTTTAAAAATGATTTTCAAAATTGTTTTCAAAAGTAACTAAGGAAGGATGTGATGTGTACGATCAGCCAGAGCCAATAAAGTATACCCCAAGTTACCACACTATTATTGATATTATGTTTATGTTAGTGATAGACTAAGGATCTTCAGGAATTGCATGGTAGAATTGCCTGACATATGATTCCTGATAGCCTAGGGTTATTTCTGGTATGAATTTGACATCATTACTATAGTTGCTTAGTGTATGCATCATAATTGTACATAACTAAGAATCTATAGACTGAGAATGTTTGGTTTAGCCTTATTTCCTGTTCTTGTTTGATGAAGAGATTAGGATAGAATCAGGTATTCGACCGTCTAAAGGATCCAATGTTATGTATGATTAGCATACACGAGCTCTGCAGGGTTCGTGGAAGTTTCATGGATGAGTTATGTGGGGTCATCGGGCCAGTTGAGGGTTGTCTATCCTTTCTTTAGGAAGAGAGAATAAGATGTATGTGTATTCTAGAATGTGCTGTTAGGGTCGTTGTGATGGTCTTCTGAGACAAATACGGGTGGGTGTGGAAGGTAGTATGGGCCCGTACTACTGGAAGTACATGACTTGTACGCGTAGCAGGGAAGTCACAACCCCTAGGATTTGTTATTTGGAATAGCTCCTATGATATGAATTGTGATTTATTTGATAGTTTCTGGTTTATTTCAATATGGTGTTCACGAGGGGATCCGGATTAGGAGCAGGAGCGAGTGGCCAGGATAGGCTAGGGATGACTGAGGATCAGATCAGGGAGATGATTCATGTTGAGGTTGTTTCTATTGTCTGGGGGAATATACCGGATTTGTTTGGGTCTATCAAGACCGACATGATGGAGTTCTTTGATTACTGATACGCTACACTTTCAGAGGCTGTTGCTGCTGCAGCCACCGCGATCGTTGCTGCTACAGGGATTAGAGGGGGAGAGCCTTCCAGTACCGAGACTTCAACAATACGAAGCCCCGGGTGTCTGATGGGGTTCAGGACCCGATCATCGCCATGAGGTGGCTGTCGGATGTTGAAGGGTGTTTATTTACTTGTTCCTGCCCAGCTGACCTGAAGGTCAAGTGCGCTATGAACCTTCTCAGGTTGGGGGCGAAGGATTGGTGGAGAATGGTTACTAGCTCTTACACTACGGAGCAAAGGGTTGCAGTATCATGGGAGCAATTCTCGGAGATGTATCGTTCGAGATATGTCCCACTGGTTGAGAGCGAGAGATTGGCCCAGGAGTATGTGGACCTACGACAGCGTACTGAGTCCGTGACGGAGATCACCAAGATGTTCGTTGAGAGAACACTGTTTTTCCCTGAGTTTGCTGCTTCTAAGCAATATCGGATGACCTGATACTTAAGCATGCTGAAGAAGCACATCCGCCAGTTTGTGGGGTTACAGGAGGCTGGTAGGCGGCGGGAGATTGAGTTGGAGCTTTAGACGAGGGAGCGAAGGCAGGCTATGGTGCAGTCGCAGCCCGTGGCAAAGCGGTTTAAGGCCGCTTATACGATATCTAAGAGTCAGAGGGGTCGCACTTGTGGCAAGTGCGGCAAGGTTCACGAGGGTTCTTTTCGATCTACTTCTTGGTGCCACAAATGTGGCAAGGATGGTTATTATGCCAAGGACTGTCGCCAGCATGTCCCTGCACCGACCACTAGGATTTGTTATCATTGTGAGCAGGTTGGACATATTAAGGCCAATTTTCCTTTGCTCACGGAGGGACCGGCGTAGGCTCCAGCGCCAAAGACTTTGAGGATCACCGATGGGCGATAGGGTAGGGCGGAGCCCCCGAGGGCTTGAGGTCGCGCTTTTCAGCTCACATAGAGGAGGCTAGGGCGGCACCAGATGTAGTTATTGGTATGTTCCTATTTATCATCTTGTTGATTATTTTATGGTATGATTATGTTTATGTTTCTGATAGGTACCTTCTTAGTGAATTCATTGCATGCTCTTGTGTTATTCGACTCGAGAGCGATTCGGTCCTTTGTTTCTCGATCTTTCAGTAGGGATTTTGATATGACCCTTAGTGATTTAGAGTGTCTGTTGCGGGTTTCTATCACCAACAAACATGGGATTTCTGCATCCAGAGTGTATCAGGGTTGTGTATTAGAGATCTCGGGGGTGCCTTATCCGATTGATTTGATCCTAATCCCTGTAGGGGATGTATGCGTGATAGTGGGGATGGATTGGTGTGGAAGTTAGTATTGGGCCCGTACTACTAAAAGCTCAGGATCTATACTCGATTCAAGGATTGTCTCGGAGATTCTATAGAGATTTCGGTGTGAGGGATCCCTTGAGTATATGTTTCTGATCATTGTATGTTTGTATTTCAGTATGATGGCCACTCGAGCAGGAAGTTCTGGTTTCGGTTCTGGCTTTGGTGTAGAACCAATTTGTGAGAGGATGCACGAGTTCATCTCATTGGAGATTACTCCTGGTATTATGGAGGCCACCCTATGCTTTTCGGTACCATCAAGGAGGGGATCATTGACCTATTGGATGTGCGTTTAGGGGCTTTTCATGACGAGATCACGACAGG